AATTCCTAGCAGTTTTGTAGTATGCTTTCCATTCAGTCAATTAACACAAGAAACCACCAATTCATAAAGTGCACAGAAATTTGAAATTTGGCCAATTTTACACAAATTTAAAAAATACATTTTAAAAAACAGAGTAAAAAATGAAGAATGTAGATATTCCTAGCACTAAAACAACATTTATTAAATTATAATATTTTAGTTAACATGTTTGGACAATATTTGCAGTATGTCATTGATCATTTATTGTTAACCCCTAAACGGTCCAAGCGTATATATACATTCTCTCCCCCAGTGCCCCGAATATTTTGAAAAATAAAAAAATCATTTTTTTTTATTGAAATAAAGAGAAAAATATTCTAAGTGTTACAGGATTAAAATAAAAAAATAGGCTCAGTACTTATTGAGATATGAGGCTGGAAAGTTGGCTCTTAATGCTCACCTGGTGGCAACATTGAGTCCTTCCGCTTGAGGAAGTGTTGCCGATATACCCTTTTTTTCATATCTGTATTACTTTATATAATTTTTATGTTCTGGTAATGACAATTTATTGTAGTTCTTGGCATTTCATAACTAATTTTTGTTCTGACACTAATATTAGGTACTGAAATTGTACTCAAATTGTCAGAAACACATTGACAGGTGGACATTTATACCTGCCTTGGTCATTTACTATTGTCTAGGAATATATACAAGTATTTATAGGTCCCAGCAATGTTTTGGATATACGGGAGTATAGAAGAAGAAGGAAGAAGGAGAGAGAAGTATAACTGTATTTGTGTGTATCTGTGAGACAGATAAAAAGAGATAGAAACAGATAGACAGAGACAGACAGAGATAGACAAAGATAGACAGACAGAGATAGACAGACAGAGATAGGCAGACCCTAAACTTGGGGTTAACATAACTTTCCTCTTAAAAGGGGAGTGTTAATATGACATTACATCAGTGAATCCTTGGTGTTTGCTTGAGCTGGCACTCAGTTTAACTGGCACTCCCACAAGGTGCTAAGTGGTCCCAGATTTTTTTTAATATGGAGCACACCGAGTGCTAAGACCCATTCTGTGCTGACCAGGCATCTCAGGCCAACTGTGCCAAATTTGGAGGCAGGAAAATTAAAACATATATATACATTTTTTTTATTTTTTATATTTTATGAAAAAGAGGATAAATAAATATACAAGGTATGATGTAGCACGTAATGAAAATAGTTTGTTAGATTATGTATTGGTGGATAAAAGGTTGATGGGTAGGCTCCAGGATGTACATGTTTATAGAGGGGCAACTGATATATCGGATCATTATTTACTTGTAGCTACAGTTAGAGTAAGAGGTAGATGGGAAAAGAGGAAGGTGGAAACAACAAGTAAGAGGGAGGTGAAAGTGTATAAACTAAGGGAGGAGGAAGTTCGGGCGAGATATAAGCGACTATTGGCAGAAAGGTGGGCTAGTGCAAAGATGAGTAGTGGGGGGGTTGAAGAGGGTTGGAATAGTTTTAAAAATGCAATATTAGAATGTGGGGCAGAAGTTTGTGGTTATAGGAGGGTGGGGGCAGGAGGAAAGAGGAGTGATTGGTGGAATGATGAAGTAAAGGGTGTGATAAAAGAGAAAAAGGTAGCTTACGAGAGGTTTTTACAAAGCAGAAGTGTTATAAGAAGAGCAGAGTATATGGAGAGTAAAAGAAAGGTAAAGAGAGTGGTGAGAGAGTGCAAAAGGAGAGCAGATGAAAGAGTGGGAGAGGCACTGTCAAGAAATTTTAATGAAAATAAGAAAAAATTTTGGAGTGAGTTAAACAAGTTAAGAAAGCCTAGGGAAAGTATGGATTTGTCAGTTAAAAACAGAGTAGGGGAGTTAGTAGATGGGGAGAGGGAGGTATTAGGTAGATGGCGAGAATATTTTGAGGAACTTTTAAATGTTGAGGAAGAAAGGGAGGCGGTAATTTCATGCACTGGCCAGGGAGGTATACCATCTTTTAGGAGTGAAGAAGAGCAGAATGTAAGTGTGGTGGAGGTACGTGAGGCATTACGTAGAATGAAAGGGGGTAAAGCAGCTGGAACTGATGGGATCATGACAGAAATGTTAAAAGCAGGGGGGATATAGTGATGGAGTGGTTGGTACTTTTGTTTAATAAATGTATGAAAGAGGGGAAGGTAGCTAGGGATTGGCAGAGAGCATGTATAGTCCCTTTATATAAAGGGAAAGGGGACAAAAGAGATTGTAAAAATTATAGGGGAATAAGTTTACTGAGTATACCAGGAAAAGTATACGGTAGGGTTATAATTGAAAGAATTAGAGGTAAGACAGAATGTAGGATTGTGGATGAGCAGGGAGGCTTCAGAGTGGGTAGGGGATGTGTAGATCAAGTGTTTACATTGAAGCATATATGTGAACAGTATTTAGATAAAGGTAGGGAAGTTTTTATTGCATTTATGGATTTAGAAAAGGCATATGATAGAGTGGATAGAGGAGCAATGTGGCAGATGTTGCAAGTACAGTGGAACCCCGGTTAACGATTTTAATCCGTGCAAGAGGGCTCATCGTTATGCGAAATATCGTTATGCGAATGAATTTTCCCCATAAAAATAGGAAATAAAACTTAATCGTGCAAGTCGCCCAAAGTATGAAAAAAATTTTTTTTTAACCAATGAAATGTTAATTTAATACACAAAACTGAAAAAGCATGCACAATTACATGACACTTAACTTTTATTGAAGATCTGGGGATGATGATGGGGATTTGTAGAGGGAGAGCATTATCTTCTTACAGTTTAGAAGGGGAATCCTTCCATTGGACTTGAGGTAGCAAGTCCTTTACTGGGTAGGTACTTCCCTTCTTCTTTTAATGCCACTAGGACCAGCTTGAGAGTCACTGGACCTCTGTCGCACAACAAAAATCTGTCCATAGAGCTCTGTACCTCCGTTCCTTCAAGACTTTCCTAAAATGGGCCATAACATTGTCATTGAAAATAGTCACAAGCACGGCTTGCAACAGCTGTGTCAGGGTGATTTTCATCTATAAAGGTTTGCAGTTCAACCCACTCTGCACACATTTCCTTAATCTTTGAAGTAGGCACAATGGATTCACAACTGGCATAGGCTTCTCAGGGTTAGCCCCAAACCCTTCAAAATCTTTCTTAATTTCCATACTAATTCTCACCCTTTTACCACAGGGTTGGCACTAGAAGCTTTCTTGGGGCCCATGGTCACTTATTTTCCAGAAACAGCACCGAAAACACTGTATAAAATACGAAATATTCGAGTGTATGCTTGGATGTTACCGGAGAGGCTGGCTGGTAAAACAATGGGACGGCCGGCACATGTGAGGGCACATTGGACGCGTCTCGGACGAAAATCGGTAAGCGGGTTTTTAATTCGGTATGCGCGGCAAAAATTTTGCGATAAAAGTAATCGTTATGCGGAAAAAATCGCTATGTGATGCCATCGTTATGCGGGGGTCCATGTATATGGAATAGGTGGTAAGTTACTAAATGCTGTAAAGAGCTTTTATGAGGATAGTGAGGCTCAGGTTAGGGTATGTAGAAGAGAGGGAGAATACTTCCCGGTAAAAGTAGGTCTTAGACAGGGATGTGTAATGTCACCATGGTTGTTTAATATATTTATAGATGGGGTTGTAAAAGAAGTAAATGCTAGGGTGTTCGGGAGAGGGGTGGGATTAAATTATGGGGAATCAAATTCAAAATGGGAACTGACACAGTTACTTTTTACTGATGATACTGTGCTTATGGGAGATTCTAAAGAAAAATTGCAAAGGTTAGTGGATGAATTTGAGAATGTGTGTAAAGGTAGAAAGTTGAAAGTGAACATAGAAAAGAGTATGGTGATGAGGGTATCAAATGATTTAGATAAAGAAAAATTGGATATCAAATTGGGGAGGAGGAGTATGGAAGAAGTGAATGTTTTCAGATACTTGGGAGTTGACGTGTCGGCGGATGGGTTTATGAAGGATGAGGTTAATCATAGAATTGGGTGGTAAATGCAGCAGCGAGGAGACGGTTGGAGGCAGTGGAGATGTCCTGTCTAAGGGCAATGTGTGGTGTAAATATTATGCAGAAAATTCGGAGTGTGGAAATTAGAAGGTGTGGAGTTAATAAAAGCATTAGTCAGAGGGCAGAAGAGGGGTTGTTGAGGTGGTTTGGTCATTTAGAGAGAATGGATCAAAATAGAATGAAATGGAAAGCATATAAATCTATAGGGGAAGGAAGGAGGGGTAGGGGTCGTCCTCGAAAGTGTTGGAAAGAGGGGGTAAAGGAGGTTTTGTGGGGAAGGGGCTTGGACTTCCAGCAAGCGTGCATGAGCGTGTTAGATAGGAGTGAATGGAGACAAATGATACTTGGGACCTGACGATGTGTTGGAGTGTAAGCAGGGTAATATTTAGTGAAGGGATTCAGGGAAACGGGTTATTTTCATATAGTCGGACTTGAATCCTGGAAATGGGATGTACAATGCCTGCACTTTAAAGGAGGGGTTTGGGATATTGGCAGTTTGGAGGGATATGTTGTGTATCTTTATACATATATGCTTCTAAGCTGTTGTATTCTGAGCACCTCTGCAAAAGCAGTGATAATGTGTGAGTGTGGTGAAAGTGTTGAATGATGATGAAAGTATTTTCTTTTTGGGGATTTTCTTTCTTTTTTGGGTCACCCTGCCTCGATGGCAGACGGCCGACTTGTTGAAAAAAAAAGAAATATATACATTTGGGGCGCTAGCAGTAAGAACGTATATATACGCTTGGACCATTTAAGGGTTAATAATATGGGAATATTTCCAGGCAAATATGCCTAAAGTAGTCAACTCAGGACATAAATATAGTTGTATATTTAATATTATCATATTGTAGTTATTTTAAATGAAGAAAGCAATACAGTAACTCTCTTATAAGATACAATTTAATAATGATTATTAATAAGCTTTAAAGTCTGAAAAATGGTAAGCATTTTTCACAAGAAATCTACATCATTCTATGTGATTACTATGTATTTCAGTAAAGTACAAGAGGCATTTTATGGCAGCAAACTTCGTATCAATGGACAGAGAATGTTAAAGAAGGGTCAACAGGTAAGATTTTACAGTATCTTTATAAAACATTTTCCTTTTCTGTGACCTAGCATAATAGTATAAATATGCAGTGTTTTCAGTACCTTATTTAACCCTTTGACTGTCGCAACCCCCAATCCTGAGGTGTCTCCTGGTGTCGCAAAATTTAAAAAAAAAAAAAAAAATTTCTTTTGAAATGATTGAGAATCTTTTCCCGATTGTAATGACACCAAAAAACGAAATTTGATGGAAAACTGACGGAATTATGCTCTCGCGAAGTTAGCAACCTCAGCGCTTTGAGCCCTATTTTCGGCTAATTCCATTGTTCCAGTTGCCCAAACTCATAGCTATGTCTTTAGAACTCCATTTTTTCTATCGATTGAGTACAAGAAACTGCCCATTTCCCGATTTCAACTACCTAATAATGTGGTCAGAAATTTGCAATTTGGCCAATTTCACGAAAACTAAAAAATATGACAATTTCAAAATAAGGTCCAGAATGAACAATGCAGCCCTTTCCCTGGCCCCTAAAATAACATTTTCTTTGTTTCCCCAAGTCATGTCTGGGCCCCTCTGATATTATCTTGCTTTCTTTTTTAAATTTTTTATTCAAACAAAAAATGGGAAAAATTACTTTTTATGAGAATTTATTTGGCCCAATACTGTAATAATTGAAATAAAAAACCATAAAACCCCTTTTCATGATTTGCATATTAAAATGGCTATTTGGGGACTTTTAAATGGAAAAGGGCCCAATCATTTTTTTATTTTTGAAATTGGCAAAAAATAAAACCTTTTCCCCTATTTTGAGCTCCTTTTCTAGGTTCTTTTTTTAGAAAAAATAATCAAAATCCATCTATTTCTATAATATTTTTTCCTTTCTATCAAATGGACCAAAAAAACGGAATAAAACCCCAAAATATATACGAAATACCAAAAAGTGGGCCCTTTTTAAAATTTTAAAAAAACGGTCAGTTTTTTTTTCTAAATTATGCCGGGCGTGTCCAGGTTTTTTTTTTAATAGGGGTGCACACTGCCCACACGCCCCTTTTCTCTCCCCTTTTGGGCCTACCAGCTTTCTCCTGCTTGATTTGAAGCCTAGAATTTATGAGTATACAGTGGCCCCCCCCAAAACGTGGATCACATAGCGTTTTTTTCCGCATAACGATTATTTTTATCCCCCAAAATTTTTTTCCCCCGCATACCGATTAAAAACCCCCCTTTACCGATTTTCGTCCGGGGCGGGGTCCAATGGCCCTACATGTGCCCGGCCCTTCCCCTTGTTTACCCGCCAGCCTCCGCGGGAACATCCAAACATTTCCCCTCGGGGAAAATTTTTGTATTATTACAGTGTTTCGGTGGTTTTTTGGAAAATAAGTGGGCCATGGGCCCCCAAAAAGCTTTGTGCCCAAACCCCGTGGTAAAAAAAGGGGGAGAAAAAAGTTGGGGAAAAATTAAAAAAGATTTTTAAGGGTTTGGGGGGGTTTTTCCCCGAGACCCCATGCGTTTTGGAATCCCTTGTGCCTACTTCAAAGATTTAAAGGGAAAAGTTTGCAGAGTGGGTTTTAAAAAGCAAAACCTTTTTAGATGAAAATCCCCCGACACAGCTGTTGCAAAACCGTGCTTTGTATTTTTAATGACAATGTTATGGCCCATTTTTGGGGAAAATCTTGAAGAAAAAGGGAAGGGGGGACAGAAACTTTTTATGGACAGAAATTTTTTGTGGGGACAGAGGTCCAGTGATTGAAACTGGTCCTAGTGGCAAATTAAAAAAAAGAAGGGAAGTAAAACCCCCGAAAAAGGGCTTGCAAACCCCAAGGGGGTTTTTTTTTCCCAATGGAAGGGGTTCCCCTTCTAAAAAAAGTAAGGAAAATAATGCTTCCCTCCCCCATCCCCTCAATTTATCACCAGATCTTTTAAAAAAAAAGTAAGGGGTCATGTAATTGTGATGCCTTTTTCAGTTTGGTGTATTTTAAAAATTTCCCTTTAAAGTGGTTTAAAAAAAATTTTTTTTTTTATAAATTTTGGGCGTCTTGCACGGATAAATTTTTTTTCCAATTTTTTCTTATGGGGAAAAAAAAAATTGCCCTAACCGGGTTATTTCGCATAAAAAATGAGCCCCCTTGCACGGAATTTTAAAAACGTTTAAAACCCGGGGGCCACTGTTTAAAAACGTTTAAAAAACCCGGGACCTTGTTTAAAACGTATATATACGCCCCCGACCCGTCAAAGGGGTTTAAAAACATTATCTTTCTGGGCCCCTCAAAATAATTCAGGTAGTTGTATTCCCGTGCTCAGTTTATGTGTTATTACTAGATTGTTTTTAAGTTTTGGTTTCCCTTTGCCTGTTTTTTAAAATTTACTTAAATTTTCCCCCACTTTAAAAAACCCATTGAAATGTTTTCCCTAGGGAAAAGGGCCTTGACACTGGTATTTTGATATTTGGGAGAGCTCTTTGACCATGTAGGTCACTCAGGGATTTTAGCATAAAAAAATTTGTATCTAACATGCAAAAACACACATGCATGCACATGCCCTCTAAAAAATATAAAATGAATAACAAAAAAAGGCACATACCTGTGAATGATATACCCCCGCACATAAAGAGAGAAGCTTCGACGAGTCGTCGAAGCTTCTTCTTTTATGGGGGTTTTTTGTGTTTTGAACATAAATACTATCCCTGAGGGATTGCTATCCCCCACCCCCCCCAATCAAAACTAATGAAAGGCAGTATCAGAGCAATCACAAACTAAAACTAAGCAGCACTCCAGTTTATTCAGTCCCCAAAAAATTTAAATATTAATGCTCCATGCTATTAAAGTTCACTCTTCAAATTTTAAAACAGCTTTGTAATGCTGAGCTTCCTTAGATACCACAGAAATACCTTTAAAACCCTTTTTAATCCAAAAAAAAACTGCGTGCAATTGATTCCAACTCCTGCACTAGGGAGCACACTCCACCCCTTTTTTAAAAGCCTTAACTTGGGTTAACCCTTTCAGGGTCCGTCTGTAGTCTACGGCTTTTCGGGAGTGTCCAAAACCCTTGATCTCGCCCTGAGCTCAGCTCCTTATAAACTGTGGTGGCATTTGGGCCCAGATATGAGAGAAACTTTTATGGGTATGTGTGCACCCCATAAAAAAAATCCTGCGCACATGTGTTAACGAGAAAAAAACTGAAATCATGATTTTTTGATTAAAACAGGACTTTGCGTGTTTTTTCGTATGTTTTTTATAGTTGTATTTGCGTTTCTTGGTCTCATTTGAAGAATGGAAAGACATATTACGAAATAGAGTGATTTTGTTGGTTTTAGACTGGAAATGGCTTGAAATGAGCTCAAAGTAGCGGAAATGTTAAATTTTTCCCGATATTCAAGAGTAAACAAACGACCTCACACATCTAATACACGTCAGCTGGTGGGTTATATACATCACAAATATGGTGATGATATTTATACAATTTTTACAGTATTGCATAACAGTAAATTTCTATTTTTTGGTGTGAATAAAAATTAAATTATGTGAATAAAAAATCAAAAGGGGAATTTATTTGTAAAGCCTCAAAATGTAACTAATGAACAGAGGAAATGTTGGGTTTAGTTCAGGAATCCTACATTGTTTATTCTGGAGCCTATTTTGAAATTGGAATTTTTTGAACTTTGTGTTAAATTGGCCAAATTTAACAATTACCGATCACTTTATTTTGTAGTTGAAACCGTTGATTGGCGATTTCTTGTGCTCAATCGATAGAATAGAAGTAATACTAGTGAAATAGTAGGAATTGGTTGATTGGAATAAAGTAATTGGCCTAAAATGGGAGTCAAAGTCGGCAAAATCGCCGACTCGTAAATATCGCTGACACATCAAAATTCGCGAGAGCATAATTTCGTCAATTTTCCACCAAATTTCGTACTTTTTGTTTTATTACCTTCACAAAAAGATTCTCTACGATTTCATAAGAAAAAATAACAATTTTTTTTTTTTTTAAATTCTTGGACACTGGTGCGTGACTTCAGATTTTGGCCTTGGACCCTGAAAGGGTTAATATACAAAATATTCCCACTTATTATTGTGCCTACTACACACACAGAACATTATACTCAAATATTAACCCTCCTCTCAAACTCCTTGATAACTACAACAAAACACACAGGCATAACACAAGGTACAAATCCCTCTTCGATATCCCTCATGTCTCTCTCTCCCTGTACAAAAATGCTATGTGCATAAAGGGCCCGAAGATCTGGAATTCATTGCCAGAACACACCAAAGGGCCCCTGGCTGCAAATCAATTTAAGACCCTACTTAGAAATCACCTCATCACCCAAAATTAACCAGACAAATACTATACTTAACACCTACCAGTTACTCAAAATATACTCATAATTTTGACTGCTCAACTATTTAATCATTACTTCAAACTTATAATTGTTTCAATTTCATTGTTTTAAACTTTGCTAAATTACAATATTTCATATTGTAAATTGTGCTTGATGATTGCTCAACTATTTAATCATTACTCCAAACTTAAAATTGTTTCAACTTCATTGTTATAAATTGTGCTAAATTATAATACTGTATTTTTTATATATTATATCAAAACTGTAATTCTTCTGTACCGAACTTATTAAAGCCATATAGCATGAACTGTTTGAATATTCAATTTTCTTGAATTCACTGTAACTCACCTGATGACCATATGCACAATTACAGCACTGTTATTGCCTTATTATTCTTAAATTAGTCTTAAGCTTTCCTGAAATGCTCTGCATATAAAGGGGCTTTTGGCATGTTCACCAAATTGTTACAGTCCTTTGTATAAACATGTATCATGCTAAAACAAAATTGTTATTGTTATTGTTATGGAAAAAACTATAACATAATACACTAGTATCACACTTGAAACCATAACCACTTTGATATGCCTGAATATCAACAAAAACCCAGTGCAAATAAATGGACCAAAAATATGGAATAGCCTACATCATCATTCCACCAATCGCTCCTCTTCCCTCCCGCACCCAC